CTGAAATAACTCCTAGGTCACTTTGCAGACGCACAAAAGACAGGTATACCAAGCAAATAATAACATCTGGTTGGAACACACGCATCAGAACAATCAGCTAGAAAGGACCAACATGGCAATGTTTACCCAATAACAAAGTTAAGAAGGTAGGAAGGGGCAGAAAACCTGGGCAAATGGAAATGGGGAACCCAAAGTGGGAATGGGAGAGTGCTGACGCACTGTAGGAATTGCAATGTCATGGAGCAACCTCTGTATCAACTGCAGAAGGGGAAATAATCTGCTCTGTCAACTTTCACCTAAACCACATTCAAAGGTCTTTGCTTTTTTAAAGTCACAATCCCCTCATTCGGACTGCTACTTTGATAGCTTGTCCTGCATTTTCAACTGCTGAAACGGGCAAAAATAAGGAAAGATGAAGGCTGCCAATGTGAATGCCCTCCAGGAAGGGAAATAGATGTAGGTATTTAACAAATATATTCCAAAAAGAAAATTAAATCAAAGGGAAATGATCTTACGAATAAAAAAAGTAAAGGATGAGATACAGAAAGATTATCTAAAGGCTCAAGTGCTGCTCTGCTATTTTAAATCTATCTTGAACAACAATTTAAAAAAAAAAGGTTTGAGAACAATTAAGCAATGATGGTCTGGTAAAAATAGTTATCTATAAAAAGAACTAAAGGGAACACTGGAACACACACACATTGGCAGGGCTTAGTGACATTCCTTGCAGGTGAGGGGAAGTGAGCTTGCATGGGAAGATTGCTGGTTTGTTCTGCAGCCACGAAGTGCTGGGGAGAAGTGGCGCCATGAGCAAGGAGGAGGACATGAAGCAACGTGGGACTTACATTTTAAAACAGAAACGAAGTGAGCTAGAGTCATTTTGGAAAGTCCAAATTAGGTTTTCAGTAAAATAATGGAGGCAAAGATTAGAAGAGATTTTAGAAAAGCAGCTAATGCCAATGAGAACATAAAATCCTGGGAGCAGGCCAGTTAAAGGGTTCCAAGCAGAAATCACCATAGACAAAACCAATTACTTTTCTTTAGGACCTAACTTTCAGGAGTGAATAGAAGGAAGGTTATTTCATTTTGAGGTTTTAGCCAACCAATTGTTTGCCAGTCTCAGGGGTAATTATTGTGCTTTGGAGAGCTTTTCAGAGTGACCTGGCTCAGAGCACCATCAAACAGATGGGACAACGAGAAACAAAAGGTATCGGCATATGGTGATGTATCTGTTGAGGAATGAGGAAGGCAACTTGCAGGTACGTCAGGGACTGGGGAGAAATTGCCACTTCTTCAATCAGCTCCACTAGGGACTGGAAGGGTAGCCCAGTCCGAGTGACAGCCCACTTGGCCAGCTCCATAGCTTGCTTGTATGGATTTTACAGTATATATGACTCTACACCTAATGTATTTGAAAACCTAAAATGAACATATAAATGATATCAAAATATGACAAGAAGGACTGAAACAGGTTCCTTTAGCATATAATCAGGGCTCATAGAGCATATCGTGCAAAGGGAATTTGCAGAAAATATTCACTCTGAAGATGCTTTAATTTTTTTTTAAATTTCCATTCATTCATTGTTGTACATTTTCTTCCCTGCACCCACCCCCCTACCCAATTTGGGTTTTTTTCCTTTGGAAAAATAAAAGTTCTTTAATTGTTATACAGTCCCCCCTCCCCAAACCACTGTACTATGCAGCTTTTGGTTCTTTTTAAAGAATTCATTCCAAAGGTTATGCAAAACCTCTCTGCATCACATGTGGAATGGTTTCAAAGATCACAAGATATTTTTTCCCCCCATTTTTCTACTCTTGTGCTGCACGAAGGATGTCCAGAAGCCTGCAAATGTTTTTCTCCGCATCAGTGCTATTCATTGCGTGGGTGGAGGAGGCCTGGCAGACAGTGTTACCGTGCTTCTGTTAGGGAGCTGTGTAGTGGTTCCCTGGATCTTCATCAGATGGCAGGTTCAGGAGTGAGGAGGCAGTGAGCTCTCGATTGCAAAACATTTAAGAGGAGAAGCTTGTGCTGCAAATCTTCCTCAGTCCCCCTTCCCAGGAGGAAGTCTGGCTCAAAGCAGGAGGGTTGAGACCACCTTCCTGGGGGCTCCTGGCAAGGCTCCTCTCTTTGGAACTCTTGCTCTCACTCTCCTCTGACATCTTGGCTCCTCTGACTCGTGGATGTGTCCCCAGTGGGAACCAACTTCTATTTTGAACTTGTGAATATGAAACACACCACACACATCACCTGACCAGTCTCAGATCAGGGTAGGATGCAGATGTTGCTTCTCTTGGTTCTTTTGTTAGTCCTGTTTGACTATCAAAAATAGACAAAATGATCCCCAAAGGGCCAGTCCATATCGTAAGGCTCTACTCCAGTGTCTTCTAACTTATGTTCTAGGTTGCTTGCTGGCATAGGTTCCTGTCACCAATGGAGGACACATTTTGCCTTTTTTTCCCACTGGGGCTGTTGTTTGTTGGTGTCGAGTTGGCTCTAATTCATGACCTTATGAATGTTACCTGGTCTGGCATGATCTTCATGACTGCTGGTCTGTTTGAGTCCATTACTGTAGCTATTACATCAGTCCTTTTCATTGAGGATTTCCCTCATTTTTTGCCCACCTTCCACTTGGTCAAACACAATGTTCTTTTCCAGTGATTTGTCTTTCCTGATGATGTGCCCAAAGTCAGATGGCTGAAATCTTTCCACTAGGGTGACAAGATAGTTTGGAGAGCTGCTCTCCTTATCTTAAGAGGTGCACAGACATTTGGTGGCCGGGCATGGCGGCTGCCTTTGTTTTGTTTTTTTTTTTCCTTTGGTTTTAAGGCAAGATTTTTCACTCTCCCTCCTTCAATATGCTGTCATAGGAGATGCCCCATTACCCACTGTTGAAATGATGAGGGATCTTTGAGATCCAACATCTCTGTGACTGTGAAATGAATTTGAGTCAAAGAGGTCACTGAGTATTGCAAACCAATTGCATAAACTTTAGACATATCACAGTTGGCTCTTAAACAGCTCTTATAATAAGCTCTGACAGAGCCACACAACATAAATTTATTGGTTTCAGGCTAGCTATAAATCAAAATGAATAAAAGGAAGGATTTGAATTAAAAGGGAAAATATTATTTATTGCATCATTTGGTATTCCTTTATGCAGGACTGAAATCTTGAGAATTTTAGCTAAAGACAAGGCTTGTTTGTTCTAATTTAAAAGGAATTTTCATTTTTAATATGATGGTTTATTTTTCATAATTACTATCCAAGTAATCTGTGTATCCTTTCTAGTTTTGAAAGTTTCTTATTCATTAGACTTTCAATATTTTAAAAGGAAAAACCATCGAGGTATTTTGAAACAATAAGTTTTGGGTTTTTTCAAAGAAATATGGGGAAAAAATATCCTAGAAACCTTGCACTTGGTCAATCCATTCAAATAGATCATATGAACCAGGTAACCTTTTTATCAGACTCTGAGTATGAAAAATCCTTTTCACTCCTTTTGCATAGATGTTGTCTTTCCTAAAGCAAGAAGAATCAAATGAATCTAATACCTAGGCTGAGTGGAAAGGAAAAGCAGGAAATAGACAAATGAGGGATCCCTTCAACACACCAGACAAAGGCTCTCACTTCATCAACAAGACACCAAAAATTAAGATAAAAAGGTCTTGGTCTTGGGGGGGGGATCACATAAATTTGATACTGTTAACCCTTTTGGGGATATTTTTTCCAACAAATTCTTTGTGTTAAACTATTTTATATCTGTTTAAACGCTTGTCAATTTTTGTTTAAATGTTCCTTTTTAAAGGTCAAGCTGAGAGTTCAGTAACTTAGAACCGCAGTTTGTAGCATATCCTGCAAGCCAAAACTCTAGTGCTACTTGGGGAAGTGCTTAATGAGCCAGACTTGCTTGTTAAATATATTGATTTATGTAAAGAACATACAGAGAGAAGTCCCAAAAAGGAAAGGGCTGACAAGTTGTAAAGTATAGATAAACCTCCTTGAGGAAAAGACATTTCACTCCTGGCAAAGAGGTAATCTCATGTCTCCTTTACCGTTCCTGAGTTAAGAGGTTACACAGGCACCTGTGCGTAGGGATGTTGTTATTCTGAGATGCCACTAGTTCTTCGAGATCCTATGTGTGGCAGAATGATACTGTATGGACCTGCATTATTCTAAAGACCGATTGCAGATCTTGTGATATATGCTGTGATTCATAGCCTTTACATTGGCTTATACTTAGAAGTAGATCACCAGGCTTTTCTTCCTAGTCTGTCTGAATCTGAAAATTCTGCTGAAATCTGCCCAGCATTAGCAAAATGCACACCTCCACTGACAGACTGGTGGTAGCTACACAAGTTGCATTAGTAGAGAACCCATACCAGGTCTCTGCACAGAAGGTGAGGTTTCTACCACTAAGCCACCACTGTGCCTTCTGTCTATGAATGGAGAAGAGAAACCACTGAGGGCAGAGGAGCCAAGATCTGTGCCGCTAGCCCAGTAGAATAAGAAAGACTTCAGGGTTGTTGTGAGGAGTACCTACTGGCTGGGAGATAAAGCTGTCTGCTTGTAAAAGACTTCATGACAAATCACACTGAGGAGTACTTGCACCAGTGAAGAGATATGCACAGGTGCCAGGTCGTTCTGATTCTGAAAATATTCAAGGATGGCTTCTAAAGCAATAGATGAGCGAAAGATACCTTCTTTCTTCTTTAAATGCTTTTCTAAATTGCATAGCTTATTTAAACACATTTTAGTCACGCTGGACAAAGTTTGTATTTTGCTGCTTTAATAGAGATCTATTTTAGTGAAACAAAATTAAAGATGAGAAAAAGAGAAAAGAATATCAATCTCCGCCTCTCACTTCAGTCACGGTTCTGGGAACAAAGGCGTTTGAATGAAGGAGACTTACCCAAGGCACCACTGGTCTCAAGAGGCAGAGAAAACAACTGTGAGGAGATGAACGGCCTCTTGAGGGTTTGCCCCAGAATCCTTCCCTTACCTGCTATGCCCTCCTGGTTGTAACATGTCTTATGCATCTTCCCCATGAAGAGCTCCAGGCCGATGATAGCATAGATGATGATGACAAACAGCACTAGCAGGGCAATATGCAGCAAGGGGACCATGGCCTTGATAATGGAATTCAGAACAACCTGGAGACCTGCAATGAGAAAATAATCATAAAGGTAATAATAGTGAGAGCATGCAAAGGGGTGCTTAATGAGCCAGCACTGCCTGTTAAATATATTGGTTTGTAGAAGGGGCAGGGAGAAAAATAAAAAAAAAAAAAGAAAAAGAAAAGAGAGGCATTTCTCTGTTTTGAACCACGTGTTGTACTTCCATGATCTCCTGCAATCACCTGAGCAGCTCTACAAGTGAGGTGTCACTTGCCCCGTTTTTTTTGAGATGGGAAAATTGATGCTCAAGGTCATGTGGCAGTGAGTGAAAGAGAAGGGCTTTAAATCGAGGTTGGCCTGACTCCAGATCTTTTTTGGAGGCTCATCCAAATAAAGAGACTGACAGAAGATGGACTTCCAAGGGGAAGGACAAGTTATTTCACCAAGAATGCTTTACTCTTCTATACCTAAGTGACAATTCAACACCTTAGTGACAACATAGCATCTTTTACTCCTAGAGAAGCTTAGTAGGACAGTCAGAACTCATTTTGACAAGAGATCCAAGGAAGGGTTTGCTTATCTCCCAAGAGCTTCTTCCTGGTGGGGCTCCTGGAGTCCTGCGGATGACGCATTTGTTCTGAAACATTGATCAGCCACATAATTAGGCATCCGGGAGAAAGAGGCTTCCTTGTGAGAGCTGGTTGACCACACAGACACATCCAGAAGGTAAAACTTTCATACTGAGTTGAAAATAGGATTCTTATATCACTTTTCTCGGGATTATGTGAGTATATCTCTCTTCCCTACAGATTTCTCATCAGGCTACACTTTTTAGCACAGACTGACTCGGAAGAAGTTAGCATTTTCCATTAGAAAATCTCAGGGAGTAGTACATGGAGATGTTGTTGTTAGGTGCTGTCAAGTAGAGTACGACTCACAGAGACTCTACGAACAACAGACAGGAATCCATCCTATCCTGCACCATCCTTGCCATCTTTGTTACACTTGAGCCCACTTCTGCAGTCATCGCGTCAATGCATCTCGTCGGGGTTTTTCCTTTCTTTCACCTACTCGCCACCTTCTGAGCATGCTTTTTCCAAGGAATAGCCTCTCCTAGCAACATGTCCAGTGCATAGGAGATGACATTTTGCCATCCTTACCCTCAAGGAGCACTCTGGTTGCACTTTCTTGGAGATGTATCTGTTCATTCTTTTGGCAGTCCATGGGATATTCAGTGTTCTTCTTCAACACCACAGCTCAAAGGCATCAATTCTTCTTCTGTCATCCTTATTCATTGTCCAGTACCCACATGCACAACAAGTGATTGAAAAGACCATAGCCTGAGTTAGGCACACCTCATTGCTCTTCAGTGTTCTGGAGAGGTTCCTAACGGTGGGCTTGCCCAAAGCAGTATGTCTTCTGACTGCTGGTACCAAAGGTGTTGATTATGGATCTAAGTAAGAGAAAATAATTTAAAGTTTCAAATCTTTCTCCATCTATCATGATATTGCCTATTGGCCTAGTGGTAAGGCCCCTTGTTTTCTCACTGTAGAGATGTAACCCATACTGAAGGCTGCTGTCGTCTTTCATGTTCTGCAGCAAGCACTTCAGGCTTTCCTCATTTTGAGTAAGTAATGTTGTGTTGTGTGCATAACATGGGTTGTTTATGAGTCTTCCTCCAAACCTGACGCCACATTCTTTTTTATAGAGTCCAGCTTCTCAAAATATTTGCTAAGCATACAGATTAAAAAGGTATGGAGAAAGAAACATCCTTGATACATAACCTTTCTGATTTTAAACCATGTAATGTTCCCTTGTTCCATTTGTACAACAGCATCTTGGTCTTGTTATGAGCTCAATTAAGTGTCTTGGGCTCCCCATTCTTCTGTTAGCCATAGTTTTCTTTGATCCAGTCAAATGTCTTTACATAGTCAATAAAACACAGATAAGCATTAACCTAGTATTGTCTGCTTTCAGCCAAGATCCATCATTCTAAAGGTCTATTGGTATAACCTATCACCCAAAAAGAAGATGGATCTCCTTACTTATAAGATTAACTACACCATGAATATATAGCAATATTGTCACTTATTTAAAGGAAAGGCTGGAATTTTTTATTTTCCAATGGTAAGGAGGTTGTTTTTGCTGATAGATAACATGAAGCTGACTCTGACTTAGAACACTGACGTAAAACAGATCAAAACCTTGCCCATCCTTCACCACTCTCACAATGCTGTCTTCACAGTCTCTGCGGCCCTTAAGCCCCTTGCTGCAATTACTGTGTTACTCCATCTCATTGAGAGTCTTCTCTCCTTCAGTGGGTCTCTACTTTTCCAAGTGTGACATTCCCCTCCAAGGACAAGTACCTCCTGATCACAAGCCCAAAGTATTGAGATGAGATGAAAATCACTCCTAAACTATCCTTTGTGCCAAGAAAGTCACTGGTAAGTGGTCTCTCGACAATCAGTACACTAAATTTTCATACCTACAAGTAGGTAGAAGGAGCAGGTTCACTTTCTTCACATCTAGATCAGCTTTGTGGAAAAGCACCTCCTGGGCCACCATTGGCACACAAGCACCAGCATACTATATCATAGTATGTGGCTCACTTTCCGTGATTTTATTAGACTTATGAGCCCTGGTGGTACAGGAAGTGAAGCACCTAAGAGCCAGCAGTCTAAACCCACCAACTGTACTGCTAGGTAAAGATGAAATCCTTGGAAGTCGACGGGAGAGTTCTACTCTGTTCAATAGAATTGTTAGAAACTGCGACTGACTTGATGACTGTGGCTTTGGTTTTTGGTTTGTCTGATTTGCCCACTTCCCCAGTATTCTCTCATCTCAGCCACAAAACTCTACACTTTTCTAGAGTTTGGCACTGCCACCTCTATTTCCTCCCTACCCCTTTCAATGGGTAAACAAAAGCTGGATCACCCTCTCATCAGAGCCCAAGGCAGTAACTGTCACTCTATGAGCTAGTGGGGTAGTTCTCACAAGGCGAGTAAGAAGAATTCTCCATAACTATTAAGCTAAGCTGGGGAGAAGGGGGGAAATAAAAGAAGAGAAAAGCTGGAATAATATTACCTGTGGATTAATGAGTGTGCTTTGCAGCCTCCCATTAGAACAAGATGTTTTCAGATCCAAATGATTCCATTAATTAGCAAGCCGTACACACATTAGCATTAAAGTATGCAAAGCCACGGAGAAAGTTGAAAACTGTGAACAGCAGAGTAACTTTTAGAAGTGTCTGTTTAGGATTGAGAGTTCTATATGCTCTTCTCAGAAAACAGGAGAGAAATCCCAAAATCTGGGCTACCCTCAGTATAAGGGGACTTGCTGCTAGGTCTTCTGTGCAGCAGCTTCAGATGGAAAGAAACAAGACAAGAAGACACATGAAATGTGGAGCTCTCTTCCTCAATGGAGCCAGATGGTGAAAGTCTTCCCAAAAGGCCATCTGAAGCCTGCTGAAGCCTGTAACGTCCTCTCTTGCCGTTAGGATTTCGTGGACAGCATTAAGAGTTAAAATGCTCAATTGTTAACTGAAAGGCTGGCGGATTAAGTCTACTCAAAGATGCCTCGGAGGAAAGGTCTGGCAATCTACTTCTGAAAAATCAGCTACTGAAAACCCTATGGAGCACACACAGTTCTACTCTGACATGCAGAGGGCAGCCATGAGCTGGGATTGACTTGATGGTGATGGCTTTTGGGCTTTTAGGACAAAGATCAGAATTTTTCAACATAGGGCAGTCAAAAGAATCAACCTTGATTTCATTCCTTATCATTCTGGCTTGTGTGATATTTGGCCCACGATTTCTTTTTCTCCTATTCTATTTCTATTGTTCTATTTGTCATTTGGTTGACTGGCCACCCTACTTGGAATTTTCCTCCCCCTGTGGCATGTTGCAATTAGAGTGATTTTATTGCAACGTGTCACTTCCCTGTGGAGAATACTCTTAATTATGAGTAAAGCTCACTTGTCTCCTTACGCTTTTAATATGGTTACCAGGTTAGACCTAACATCCGAGCAATGCACCAAACTCTTTGTAGTTCTCTGGCCTGCTGTTCCATGCCTCCACACTTCTGCACACACTATTCCCCTTGCCTGCGATGCTATTCTTTGCCCAAGAGCTCTCTGATTTGCTAGGTCTTCTCATCCTTATTTCTTAGGCATAGAGTAGGATCTCAATGAATAAGAAGCTAAATAAATTTTGACAACCCAAGGTGCCTTCAGAAGATGGCAAACATGACAATGGAGGAAACAGAAATCACAGCAGTCAACTATCTTTACAAGAAATGGAAAAGATTTTGTTAGGAAAAGATAAGACTCACAGAATTAGGGTAAAGGCACTTATGGGGGACATGATGACAGTGATTTTCATATTTTGAAGATGAGGGGTTAGATGATTTCTTTACAACCACAAGAGATGGAATCAAATCCAAGAAGTATCTAGGAAAGACCTTTATTCAATGTAAATAACTGACTTTATCTGAAGATGAATAGGGGTGACTTAAGAGGTAATGGGTTCCCACTCTCATAGGTATTCACTCAAGCATTAACTGAATAAGCTCCTGGAGGAGGTTTTTTGGTAAAATACGGGCATTTGATTAAGGAGTCCTCTGAACTACCAAAAACCATATAAAGCCACTTCAACTTCTTCAAACTTCTGAACACTTGCCATGGGTAGGTGCAGCTCTAAGCATTCTACTTAGATTATTTCATTACCTCCTGACAACAAGCAATCTTATGAAGTTAGGCATTATTATTAATCATATTTTGAAGGCAAGAAAAATGAGCCCCAGAAAGGCTGAGTAACCTATCAGTAGTGACACCACTAGTCAGCGGTGGCGGGGTTTCAGTGCTTGTGGTCTGGCCCTGAGTCGGTGAGCTCCACCAGTGTGCTAAACGCCTACCGTGACTGTGACTCCCAGCCTCTACCACCAGAGTGTGTAGAGCAGCCACATATGCCTATGACATCTGCTGGAAAGGTGAAGGAGTCTAGTCTCTGCTTCCCAGAGAACCCAGATGTTTCCAAGGCTAGTCTAG